CAGCCATAGTAAATGGAACATCTGTTTCTTTGGGGGCTACTTAAATATGTGTGTGTGTGTGTGTGTGTCTGTGTGTGTGTGTGTGTGTGTGTGTGTGTATGTTACTCTACAGGATACAATATGTACCTGAGGAGTCTAGCTCCCAGTTAAAAACCTATGTGTGATTTTTCCAGCACTGACCATAGGCAGTTACAAAGGCTTTAGCTGGCAGGTGTCATGGGAGAAAGCTGCCCTTCCAGCACCAGATTTGGGGTATAGTCAGTGCATGGCAGTCTTTAGAAAAAGTTGGAGTCAAGGACTTAGGCCACTACTGCAGTTAATGGCCGCCAGAGTCACTAGTCACTCAGGCCCATCATGTTCTTCTCATCTTTGCCTTCCCTGTCCATTGTAGATCTCTCTACATCAGGCCTGTTCAGGGTCCAAAGTCTTGTCAAGGTGTGTCAGCTGAGGTCTCTTTATGCAAGGAGGAGGGATCTTGAAGACACTTCCTCTCATTCTGTTTCAGCACCTAGTTCTTTTCTACTTCTAGCTCTTTCCTTCATTCTCTCCTGACCTCAGAACTGCTGGATCCTTTGGAGCTCCCTCAACAACCCACACCCACTCCTTGCTGACCCACCAACTTCAGACCATCGAGCCTCACCTTGCCCAGGCATTTTCTCCCACTACGGTAAGTGATTAAGGTTTCACTCTTGTTTCTCGCTTGTTGCTTTAATCAACTACCCTGACACCTAGCCGCTCAGCTTTCTCTGCCTCCCTGGGCCCAGCTGAGCTCCTAACAGTACCTTTAAGTAATTACAAATTACAAATAATTACAAGTAATTACAAATTACAAATTGCAAATAATCTTGTATTGCTTGAAAAATAGCAGGTAACGTAATAATTCAACAACAGTTGAATTCTATTTACCCCATTCCCACCTTTTTGTCATATTTTATTTCTGTGTATTCTATAAGCCCCACAAGACATTGTTTTTATTTTTATTTTATACAGTCTTTTAATTGCATTTAAATAAACACACACATATGTGTGTATACATATTAAAGATGTTTTTAAATGGGCTTCTAAAATGACCATTTTTGTGGTCTTCATCCTTTCCCACAGATCCGGTTGTTCATCTGGTCTAATTTCCCTCCAACAACCCAGCATTTCTTACAATGCTGGCTCATCACAGGCATAGGATCTCCCGTTTCTCCATCTCCTGAAAATGTCTTTATTTTGCTTTCATTTTTGAAGTGTATTTTTGCTAGATAGAGAATTTTAGAGTTTTTATCTTTTCTTTTAAGCATTAAACAAATTTATTGTCTGGCTTCCATTGTTTGTAATGGGAAGTCAAACGTTATTTATGTTGTTAGTTTTCCTATATGTAAGGTTTCCATTTTTCTCTGGCTGCTTTTAATATTTGCTTCTTATACCTTATTATTATTAGTTTGACTATAATGCCTCGATGTGGTGTTCTTAGTGTTTACCCTCCTTTTTGTTTGCTTAGTTTCTTGCAATAGTGGCAAAATATTTTTTAACAATTTTGGGAAAATTTCAGTCATTATTTTCTTAAAGTTTATTTATTTGAGAGGGCAGGGGGTGGGGAGGGAGGCAGGAGGGGCAGAGAGGGAAGGAGAAAAAGAATCCCAAGCAGGCTATGTATGGTCAGAGCAGAGGCTGACCACGAGGTTCTGTCCCATGCAGTAACCATGAGATCATGATCTGAGCCCAAATCAAGAGTTGGATGCTTGAACCAGTTTCTCCTCATGGTCCTGGGGCAGCTCTTTCTGTCTTTCTGCTCACAGGTCCTGTCCCTGTGCTTAATAAAATCACCTTTCTGCACCAAAAAAAAAAAAAAAAGAGTCAGATTCTCAACTGATTTAGCCACACAGGCGCCTCTCGGTTATTATTTTTAAAACCATTTGTTCTGTGTCTTTCTCTCTCTTCTCTTTCTGAGGCACCAGTTACACATATATTAGAGTATTTGGTATTGTTCCACACATCTCAAGTGCTCTGTTTTACTTTTATACCCTTTTTTTCCTCTGTTGCAATTTAGTTTGAGTCCTTTCAATTGTCTTTACATTTGCTCCTTTACTCTGCTGTTTCTAGTCTTCTACGAAGTCTATCTAGTGATTCTTCGTTTCTATTCTTATATTTTTTATTTCTAGCTTTTCCATGTTGTTCTTCTTTGCAACTTTCAAGCCCAGATGAAATTCTCAAATATTGTGTCTGCCTTTCCTACTTGATCCTTTAGCATTTTTTATCATAGCTACTTTTTTAAATTAAGCTTTTATTTTGAGGTAATGATAGATTTACCACATATGTAAGAAATAATATAGAGAGAACACATGTACCCTTTAGCAAGTTTCCCCTAATGGCAAAATCTTGCAAAATTGTAGTACAAGATCACAAGGATATTGACCTTGATACAATCAAGATACAGAATATTCCTGTGAATACCAGGGTCCTTCATGGTGTCCTTTTATAGCTATCTTCTCCCAACCCAATCCTTGAACCTTGGCAACCACTAATCTGTTCTCCATTTCTCTGATTTTGTCATTTCAAAGGGCACCTGGGTGGTTCAGTCAGTTGAGCGTCTGACTCTTGATTTCAGCTCAGTCAATGATCCCAGGGTTGTGGGACTGAGCATGGAGCCTGCTGAAGATTCTCTCTCTCCCTCTGCTCTTCTCGCCCACTTGTTCTCTCTGTAAAAACAAACAAGTAAACAAACAAATAAAATAATTCTGTCATTTCAAGAATGTTATATAAATGGAATCATACAGTATGTAATCATTTGGGAGTGGCTTTCTTTTATTCAGCATAACTCCCTTGTGATTCCTCCAAGTTATTGTATTTATCAGTAATTCAATTTCTTTCTCCTGAAGAGCATTCTATTGTAGTCCTTTCAAAGTTCCTGTATGATAAATCCATTCTCTTGGCTGTCGGAGGCCGGCTCCGGCCAGGGTTCAGGGGTCCCTGAAGGATGGACGGTGTGGGCGAGGGAGGGGTGAGAGAAGCCTGAGAGTCTTTCTGGTCACCAGGCAGGCCTCTCTGCTCTGACTGGGGCTCAACTTTATTTTATCATTAAGTGTTTGGGGGACGACACAGAAGTGGCATTTGCCTTAGACAATGATTTCTGATAACAAACTTCTTTGATATATAAGAATTTCCCAGAACATAGATTTGTAGAAGATTTCTGCATACCTTTATCAATAGTGATTGAGATGCTTAGCCTTGGGGAAGAAGGTATCTTTAGCATACCAGACAAAATTTTTACCATAAAAGGGTGAAGTTACTCCTTTGTGAGCAGGGGTCAATAGCTTGTTTAAGGTGGAAGTATCAAGAAAAACAGGTCTTCCAGGAAACACCTTTGCTCCCATAATCGCAAAAGAGGTAGTTCCTCAATAGGTTCCTTCACAGGGAGTAATCAGCATATTCAAGGTCAGAAAATTATCCAAGCAGAAACAAATGGGTGGGGGTGGATATCTGCCCTTAATAATTAGGCTCTTTGTCTCAGGGCCAGACTCAATTGTAACTTGTGTTCTTAGCCTCCTTTATTATGTAAGTCTTGGATCTGTAAGGCCCTTAGGAAGAGCCTTTTAACAATCATCCACAATGTTTTCATCTGAAGTCTCTTTGGAAAAGGCAGGGACATGCCTTTCCTTATGAGCAATCTGTGTGGGGAATATCGGTCTGATCTGGAATATTGTGAGGCCCGGTCAATACCAGCAGGCTCACTTCCAACATGAGCCAGTAGTAGCAGTAGGAGATAGCAGTTTTCGTTTCTCATGGCAGGAGCAGTGCAAATGCTACCACTTCCTCGCTGTGACTGTCATCCTGCGAGGGCAGTGCGGCTCCCAGCACTTGGCTATTTCTGTGCCTCTTTCTGCTGATTGTTTGCTTTCATCATGATTGTGGGTCGATTTTCTTGCTTCTGTTGTGCCTTGTAATTTTTTTTTTTATTATACCCCAGATATTGCATATAAAAGAAAAGACTAGACTAAGTTATATTTACCTCAAGAAAAGAGCAAAGCCCTATTCCGTCAGAATGGTAGAATTAGGAGCTGACTTGTAGTTGAGCTGGATCTGGGCTTTGCTGCACTTTATCTGATTCAGTGTACCCTTGGCTTCAGAGAGTTTGAGGTATAGAATTAGGTTCTTCTCATCAGAAGAAACTGGAGCCTAACCATTGCTGAACTTCTGGAGATATCTTTGGCTTTCTGGCCATGTTGCTAGCCTTTTCAACAGTAGGATATTTCCCTCTGATTTATAATTCTTCTGGAAGGAGGATCATCAAGGACATTTCTTTGCTCTGCAGTCCCACTCCTGGCTTTCTGAGCCTGGGAAAATCTATTTTGCTACTCTTCCCTATCCTTTGGAAGTTAGCTGCCTTGCTTTTTACAAAGACCCGTAAGGGGGTCTCTGTGCCTGGTTTTGCTTAGCACTAGGTAAATCCTAACTGTGAAGCCAGGAGTATTTTTTTTCTTTAGGGAATAATACATATGTCAGCCTCCATGTTCTCCTCAAAGATTTTATTTTCATTCTTTTGAGAAGATTTGTCTGTTTTTTTTAATGCTCTGTTAGAGGTGAATTCTTAGATGACCAGGCATTCTGTCTGCAGGACTTGGGGAGGGGATTAGTAGTGAAGTTGCCTGTTCCAAATATATAGGTATTTAACAAGCCCCCCTGCTTTCAACTGCACATCTCACTCTTATCCTCCACTGCATCTAGTTCTTAAAGGATTCTGGTGGCTGATTGTGATATCGTCCTTGGATATGTTGATACCATTCATGCATACTTTGGTTGCTGCTTCCTCCACCCTGGTTCATAATGATTATAAAACTTATCTACTTGTTTTAGGTCTTCTACAAATTTGTTTAAAGCTCTCAGGTATCTTGCACTTTAATATCATTTCAGTATTGCTAAACAACTGGAGGATTAGACCAGCCTGGTTTCTGGACCAGTTCACCTCTCATTAACCTGCCTTATTTCATTCTCCCATTTTTTTTTATATCCAGGTTTTACTGAAAGCATTACTGAAGAATCTTCAAGGTGTCACATTGTAACAATGATTCAGCTGACAGCTACCCCTGCAAGCACACTCGTTGATGACCCAGTGCACATCCGAGCTACAGGCCTGCCTCCCTTTCAGATAGTGATTCTTCAGGCAACACTGGAAGATGAAAAGGGGAACCTATTTCATTCTGAAGCCTACTATAAGGCCAGTGAAGCTGGTGAGGTAGACCTGGAGTGTGCTCCTTCACTTGGAGGTGACTATGTAGGAGTTCACCCCATGGGTCTCTTCTCGTCCCTGAAACCTGAAAAATTTTTAACTAAATTGGTGAAAAGAGATGTGATGAATAGCCCCTTCCTGGTCCAGATAAAACTTTATGATTCAAATTTACCACTAGTCCAGATTGCCACCACTGCTCCAAAAGTCAGTGTGACTTTGGAGAGGTGGTACATAGCACCTGGTGTCACACGGATCCAAGTTCACGAAGGCCACCTTCGGGGAGTCCTCTTCCTCCCTCCTGGTGAGTAGAATTAACCTGGTACTGTCATCCTCATGTTTCTTCTTTTCAATGCCTCAGCCTTCTAGAGGCTTAACTTGGATACGGACAGTACACAGTGTAATCCTGTCCAGCTGTAGAATCAGGTTAACTCTGGGTCAGAACAAGAATATTGTGATGCCCCATTCCGACTCAAGTTTGATCTCAACAATTCTTGAGCTTTTCTTTTTTTTTTTTTAATTTATTTCTAGGAGAGAGAGAGAGACAGCGTGAGCAGGGGAGGGTCAGAGAGAGAGGGAGTGACAGACTCTGAAACAGGCTCCAGGCTCTGAGCTGGCAGTCAGCACAGAGCCTGACGCGGGGCTCGAACCCACGAACTGCGAGATCATGACCTGAGCGAAAGTCGGACACTCAACCGACTAAGCCACCCAGGCGCCCCAATTCTTGAGCTTTTCTAAGGACATGACTACATGCAGTTTATGAAGTCCCTACATTATGGGATTTCCATAGCTTTGGATTTATGTGAAATCCTTGTATATTGAAGCCTGACTATCTGAAGATCCCTATCCTGATATCCTGAACTATATCCCAGCTTCTGGGAGTTCTGTCCTGTCTGAGTTTCAATTTAGGCATAGGTCATCACATGCAATAAACTAATGATATTATGGACTGAAATACTGCAACAAATATAGAGGATGCAAAGAAGCTTTATACTCTCTAGTTTCGTAAATATTGCATATTTATAGAATATTCCACAAATCCACAGAAAATACAACAAGCTTTCTCATGGCTATACAACCTACCAGAATACTCATAGTTTCTCACAGTGATCTCCACATATCAGTAAGTGGTTCAAAACATCTACTGGTACATTTCTCAGGGTTTATTGTGGGACTGAATGAAGCAAAGTTAATTTTCCAGAAGTTGCTCATGGCAGGTACAGTTTTTAGGAGTGTCTGAGCCTTCCTTCTGCAGACATGTGATTTGGTCTGGGACACGGCCATCATATTACCAGGATGTACTGCCTACTGTGCTTTTTTTTTTTTTTTCATTAAAAACTTTTTTAATGTTTATTTATTTTTGAGAGAGAGAGACAGAGTGTGAGTAGGGGAGGGGCAGAGAGAGAGGGAGACACAGAACCCAAAGCAGACTCCAGGCTCTGAACTGTCAGCACAGAGCCTGATGCGGGGCTCGAACTCACAGAGTGTGAGATCATGACTGGAGCCAAAGTCGGACACTCAACCAACTGAGCAATCTAGGTGCTCCTCTTTGTGCTTTTAAACATTTAATCACAGTGGTGCCTGGGTGGCTCAGTCGGTTAAGCATCTGACTTCGGCTCAGGTCATGATCTCACAGTTCATGAGTTTGAGTCCCCACTGGGCAGTGCAGAGCCTGCTTCAAATCTTCTGTCTCCCTCTCTATTTTGCCGCTCCCCTTCTCTCTCTCCCTCTCTCTTTCCCTCCTTCCCTCAAAAATAAACGTTAAAAAAAAAAACAAAAACAAAAACATAATCACTTAGTAGAACGGAGATGGATTAAGGAAGCCTAAAGTGGTAGAGGTGGTTTCCAACAGCATAGAGTTACAGATGATGTAGAAGGAGTAAAATCTTCCGTTTCCAAAATCATCATGACCCATGCAGTTGCCTGGATAAATTTCAGTATTTTTATACCCAGTAATTAGCATATACGCAAGATTATTGTGTGTAAGGATCAGTAAGTGACATAAAGGTCTGTGCTCTATCATTCTACCTCAATGAAAAATTTAAATGTTGGTGCAGGCTTCCTATGTCGGGATGATGTGCTGGTTTAAAGTGTGCTATTTGTGAATCCTCTTGGACACCGCACGTGCTTGTGTCCTCCTTGTTCTGTGGGAGCCCAAAGAGGAGGGGTCAGGTCTCAAAGTGGTTTGCAACTATGACATTCTTCCAGGATAGGAGGCTTGGTACTCTTCTTCTTCTTCTTCTTCTCATCCTCCTCCTCCTCCTCCTCCTCCTTCTCCTCCTCCTTCTCCTCCTCCTCCTCCTCCTCCTCCTCCTCCTCCTCCTTCCCCTTCCCCTTCTTTTTTTTTAATGGGTTTAAGAGCAGAATTTAGTGATTCATCACTTGCATATAACACCCAGCATTCATCCCAACAAGAACCCTCCTTGATGCCCCTCACCCATTTAGCCCATTCCCCACTTTCCACCCCTCCAGCGATCCTCAGTTCTCTGTATTTAAGAGTCTCTTATGGTTTGCTTCCCTCTCTGTTTTTATCTTATTTTTCCTTCCCTTCCCCTATGTTTGTGTGTTTTGTTTCTTAAGTTCCACATATGAGTGAAATCATGATATTTGTCTTTTTCTGACTGACTTATTTCACTTAGCATAATACACTCTAGTTCCATCCACGTTGTTGCAAATGGCAAGATTTCATTCTTTTCGATTGCCAAGTAATATTCCATTGTATATGTATTCCATATCTTCTTTATTCATTCATCAGTCGAGGGACATTTGGGCTTTTCCCGTATTTTGGCTATTGTTGACAGTGCTGCAATAAACATTGGGTGTGTGTATCCCTTCAAATCAACATTTTTGTATCCTTTGGCTAAATACCTAGTAGTGAAGTTGCTGGGTTGAGGGTAGTTCTATTTTTAATTAAAAAATTTTTTTCTTTAATGTTTATTTGGGGGGGTGGGGAAGGGCAGAGAGAGAAAGGGAGACACAGAATCCAGACCAGGCTCCAGGCTCTGAGCTGTCAGCACAGAGCCTGATGCTGGGCTTGAACTCACAAACTGTGAGATCATGACCTGAGCCAAAGTCAGACACTTAACCTACTGAGCCACCCAGGTGCCCCATCTATTTTTAATTTTTTGAGGAACTTCCATACTGTTTTCCAGAATGACTACACCAGTTAGCATTCCCAGAGGCTTACTTAGTATTCTTAAATGCTCCCTCTCCCTGTCAAACAGGAGATGCAAAGCATCCTTATTCATTTATTCAAGTGGTATTTTAAAGCCAAGATATATTTAGTACCATTTTATTTCTTCTTCTCTCAACATGAGGAAACACAGCAATGCTTTCTTTTGAAAATTACCAATATTCCTTTAAATCAAGTCATCTGTTTCTTTTTTTTAAAAGATTTTTAAAAAAATTTTTAAGTAATCTCTACACCTACCATGGGGTTTGAACTCACAATTCCATGATCAAGAATCGCACACTCTATCAACTGAACCAGCCAGGTACCTCTAAGTCACTCTTTTCAAGTGTGGATGGGACCAGGCTTCCTTAGCTAAAACTACTTAACACAAGAATAGAATGCCCCCAGTAAGTGCATCATAATTTTTTTTCAGTGTGTGGGACTTGCTTTATTTAGGAAACAAGCTGCCTATACAGAGAGTGAGTGTGAATTGATACTCTGAGCACCTCTACTCTTTACCAGGTGTTAAGCTTCAGTGAATAAACAGAGTGTTATTATTGCAGGAAAGCACTCATCATTTACATCTGCTTGGATGCAAGATTCATCACTGTGTAGTCAGATTAATGTAACAGAGCAGTGTTAAGTCAGGATTATAGCTAACAGTCATTTCAATTCCCTTTTTGGAGTCATATACTTTTGAAGCCTTTTTTTCTTTTTTTTGAGTCATATATACTTTGAGAACCCAATTAAATCTGTAGAGTAACATACTCATTAGTAACATGCACATATAAATATATACTTTGCATATAATTTCAGGGCCTTCACTAATGCCCTAAAGCCTAAATATGTACCTCTTCATAGTTTAAAAAGCCCTTGCCTAATTTCAATGGCTTTCTTTACTCCCAGTACTATAGAAATGAGCCACTATGAGTTCCCAGTACTTCTTGGTTACAGGGATGAAATGTGTCAGCAAACATGGTTCCCAGTCAAGCTTCCTGATACCCTGTCCCATTAGTGTATTCAACTAGCTCCAATTCTGACCCAGATAGGAAGCTGAACATTTGGGGATTCTATTGAAAATGTATACACCAATTCCACAATTTGTGATGCATTTCTTTGTATTGTCTATTTTTCTTCTTTTTTCCTTCCATTCCCTTCATACCCAGTTCTGTTTTGTTTGGTTCTGTTTCAGGAGAGGGCCGCTTCCCAGGGGTAATTGACTTGTTTGCTGATATTGGTGGACTGATTGAATACCGGGCCAGTCTCCTGGCCAGTCGTGGCTTTGCTGTCCTGGCCTTGGCCTACTGTGACTATGAAGATCTGCCTTTACGAACAGAAAAAATAGATTTAGAATATTTCGAGGAAGCTGTCAACTTTCTCCTGAGACATCCGAAGGTAATTTTTGCCTTTTTTTTCAGTCCTTGTTTTTAAATTACCATAACACCCTGTGATCCCTTAACTTCCAAGTAGGATTCTATTACATACCCATATTATTCACATGATTTCTTTCATACCTAGTGTCTTCTGCTCAGAAGACAAAACAGGAAGTTAGCCTGTGTCCATAATGGAACCAAAATGCAATGGCTTTAGATTCAGACAGAAATGGCTTGCATTTCTGGCTTCATCCCATCTGGTTGTGGGAATTTGGGTGAGCTACTAACATGCTCTAATTCTCAGTTTCTTCACCTACAAAATAGTGATGCTATTTTGTAAGGTTCTTGTGAGAATTATCTAAGGGGATAATACAAGGAAAGTGCTCCCTTGAGTTGCTGGCAATACTACACCCTCAATAAATGTCATTACTATTATTATCACCTTCTCTGATCATTATTAAATCACCAGACTTCACCAGACAGATAATCTGTCTTTCTTGAGGAGTGAGCCTGCATTTTTAGCAATTTGAGAGGCCTTAAGAATAATGCTATAGTGCTTTCCAGTCTATACCTTCTTTAAATTTAAAATTTTTTTTTAATGTTTTTTATTTATTTCTAGGAGAGAGAGAGAGACAGCGTGAGCAGGGGAGGGTCAGAGAGAGAGGGAGTCACAGACTGAAACAGGCTCCAGGCTCTGAGCTGGCAGTNACAGGGCCCAACGCGGGGCTCGAACCCACTAACCGCAAGATCATGACCTAAGCGAAAGTCGGACGCTTAACCGACTAAGCCACCCAGGCGCCCCTACCTTCTTTAAATTTTAAAAGGTGATTTGCTGCTACTGTAGGGTTGCTGCATGTTAGCCCTTGCTAACTGCTAATATATTTTTCTTTTTTTTTAAATATTTTTATTTATTTCTAGGATAGAGAGAGACAGCATGAACAGGGGAGCGTCAGAGAGAGAGATACAGACTCTGAAACAGGCTCCAGGCTCTGAGCTGGCAGTCAGCACAGAGCCCGACGCTGGGCTCGAACCCACAAACCGCGAGATCATGACCTAAGCAAAAGTCGGACGCTTAACCGACTAAGCCACCCAGGCGCCCCTATATTTTTCTTTTTTAAAAATGTTTATTTATTGTTGAGAGAGAGAGACAGTAAGAGGGGGGAGGGGTAGAGAAGGAGGGTAATACAGAATCTGAAATAGGCTCTAGGCTCCAAGCTGTCAGCACAAGAGCCTAATGTGGGGCTCGAACTCACAGACCATGAGATCATAACCTGAACCAAAGTCAGCTGCTTAACCGACTGAGCTACCAAGTGCCCCAGCTACTATTTTTTTTTCTTAATAAGAATTGATCTAAGTAAAATTAAGTCTCTGTACTACATCCTATTTCATATAAGGATCACCAAAATATGATTAGAATTGCAGTCATTAGATGAGCAACGATCACTGACAATCTATTGATGCATTGAATTTTTATTTTTTCTTTCATTTCTAATTATTTTTAATGTTTGTTTATTTTTGAAAGAGAGAAAGAGAGTGTGCGTGCGAGCATAAGTGGGGGAGAACAGAGAGAGAGGGAGACACAAAATCCAAAACAGGCTCCAGGCTCTGAGCAGTCAGCACAGAGCCCAGTATGGGGCTTGGACTCACAAACCATGAGATCATGACCTGAATTGAAGTCGGATGCTTAACCGGCTGAGCCACCCAGATGGCCCGATGCATTGAATTTTTAAAAAGCTATTTTTGATGCATGTAATAGAATTGTCCTTGAACTATCAAACAGGCAATGTTACTGTGCTGAGTTTCTGCTTAACTTAGATGAGAGATGAAGAGGTTATGTGATTCTGCTTTTCACTTCCTTAGCCTGCTTCCTCTTATACTTGCTGCTTGACTTTTCCATCAGTGTTCTTACCAATGTCACTTAGATAGTCAATGACTTAGTGAGACCTGGAAACCAGATTTCTTTCCTAGGCTCTTGTTACTTCCACTAAACCTGCTTCATGCTGTCTCTTCTGTAGGAGGAGAGATTACAGATTTCTCAATTCCTTGTAGGTCTTATTTCTCCACTTGTTGATTTTGAGCATTCCAAAATCACTGATCCCAAATTTGGTGGCAGAAATTGTAACAAGAGTTAGTGTTCTGCCCAAAGCCTGCACATACCTGTGTCATTTTTTGTTGCTGTTGTTGATCCACGTTATACTTCCTTTTACTTGGTCTTCCCTGGCCAAAGCCTTTCTGAGTTCTCACCTCTCATTGCAATAGCTGAGACTCTATAGCTTTTATATTAAGACATAGAACTTCAGAGCTTGAAAGCCCTTTTTAATTCAAAAGGAGATGATGCAAGTCACCCCACTTATTAACATGCTGGTAGGACTTGAGGTAGAATGTACTGGCCTTACAAGAGAGGATGAAAAAATATATAGCAAAGGGGAATAGGTTCAGATCCATCAGGATTTATCCCTTGGAACTGAATACATGCCCCACAAAATAAAAAGAGATTGGTTCCCGTTAGCAAGCCTCTACACAGCATGGAATAGCATTCCTTCTTGTTTGCTCCCATTTTTTTAGGTTTATTTATTTATTTTAAGAGAAAGAGAACAGAGGAGGGGCAGAGAGAGAAAGAGAGAGAATCTCAAGCAGGCTCTGCACTGTCAGCACAGAGCTTGATGCGTGGCTCAATGCAGGGCTTTATCCCACGAACCGTGAGATCATGACCTGAGCTGAAATCAAGAGTCAGCCACTTAACTGACTGAGCCATCCAGATGCTCCAACTCCCATTTTTTAATATAAAAACCCAATTCATAGCCCATTTCCTTTGACAATCTTTCTCTGATCTGGCCTTTATTCCCTGCTAATCTGGCTTGGCAGCCTTGCCTATGTGCATTCTTATATTGCAGAATTTCTAAATTACTCTAATGGTCTGTTTTTACCCTCCTGTCTCTCCACCTGGTAGTGAGTTCCTTGATGGTAAGAGGTGATTTGTGCCTTTTCCCCCTCTGTGTCCCCCAGTGGTTAGTACAGGGTAAACAATATGAAAATGCTTGCTTGATGACTGACTGGGGAAGAGGAAGCTGAGCTAAGCCTCTTTTACGAAACCTTTCTCCAAAGGACAAACTTTCTATGGAAACCACAGCAGATGTAGAATTCTCTGCTCATGTCTCCATGCTCTATTTTATTAAACTTACCTTTTTCCTCAATCTTCTCCTACAGAGTGCCTTTCCTGTGAATTTCTATTTTTTTTATACATTTATTTATTTTTGAGAGACAGAGAGAGAGCACAAGTGGGAGAGGGCCAGAGAGAGAAGGAGACAACAAATCCGGTCAGGCTCCAGGCTCTGAGCTTTCAGCACAGAGCCTGATACGGGGCTTGAACTCACAAACTGTGAGATCATGACCTGAGTCAAAGTCAGATGTTCAACCAACTGAGCCACCCAGGCGCCTCTCCTGTGAACTTCTAGGGACCCCAGAATTGATACAACAAAGTTTACCAATCAACTATACTTTGACTCATATTATTCACAATACTTATGTGCCTTTTTCTTATTTTTCCTACTACACTGGTATATCTTTAGGGCATTTTAAACTCAGCACCTAACATCATGCTGAATCCATAGTATTTGGAAAGCCTGACATATTCTTGAAGGAGTATTTCCTTTGAACCTACATCACACATTTCAGAACCTTAGAACGAGCATGCGGGTGGGATTAGTCCTTGCTTGGTTCCAACTGGCCATTCAAGTTCTTTGGTTGTTTGGGATGGTAGGGTTTTGCTAAATGATGGGTAGAATCAATGTCTCATTTCCATTATTTTTAGGTTCTTGGCCCAGGCGTTGGGATAGTTTCCATAAGCAAAGGAGCAGAGATTGGACTCTCCATGGCTATTCACCTAAAACAAGTCACAGCCACCGTGCTTATTAATGGGCCGAACTTTGTATTTAGCGTTCCGCAGGTGTATCGTGGTCAGATAAGTCATCCCTTGTACTTCTCTCCACAATTAGTCTCCATCAATTCCTTGGGGTTAGCACAGTTCCAGTATTGTTTTGAGGAAGCTAGAAGTAAAGCCAGTGAGACCTTTTTTCTCCCCATTGAAAAGGCCCAGGGACATTTCCTCTTCATTGTGGGAGAAGATGATAAGAGTATCAACAGCAAGGCATACGCAGAGCAAGCCACAGAACGGTTGAGGAGAAATGGGAAGAACAACTGGACCCTGCTATCTTACCCTGGGGCAGGCCACATGTTAGAGCCTCCCTATTCCCCACTGTGCTGTGCCTCAAAGCTCTCCAAACTCCACCTGTTCATGCACTGGGGAGGAGAGGTGACCCCACATGCAGCTGCACAGGAGCATTCTTGGAAGGAGATCCAGAAGTTTCTCAGGAAGCACCTTGTTCCAGTAGTGACCAGTCAACTCTGAGAAGAGAAAATATTCCTGAGAAACAGAGAAGCAGGAGCGCCCGGGTGGCTTAGTTGGTTAAGCATCCAACTTCAGCTCAGGTCATGATCTCATGGTTTGTGGGTTCGAGCCCTGCGTCGGGCTCTGTGCTGACAGCCAGCTCAGAGCCTGGAGCCTGTTTCAGATTCTGTGTCTTCCTCTCTCTGACCCTCCCCTGTTCACGCTGTCTCTCTCTCTCTCAGAAATAAATAAAACATTAAAAAAAGTAATAAAGAGAAAAGAAACAGAGAAGCAATACCAGACCTTCTCTTGATTTTCATGAAACAGTGTCTTTGAGCTCTTATTGTGGGAGGTTATTATAAGAGAAAGCAAGAGGATTGCAATGACATGTCTTGCTTGGAAAGGGAAAAATGGTTTCCACTTAATCCAGCATCATACACAGAGGATTTTCTATTCTGAAAAATACATTTAGGGCTCTACCTGACCTAAAATTTTCCAGTTTGTATAATTATAATAGCTATTCTCTGAAGGAAAAAAGTTACCAAAATGAACTATAGAGTCTCCTGGTTTATAAAACTGACATGAGTAGAATCATGTGCTCATATTTGCTGATTTCTTAAAACTCAAATATGTTTAGATTTCCGATATTTGAAAATATGCTCGGGGTGCCTGGGTGGCTCAGTCAGCTAAGTGGCTGACTTCAGTTCAGGTCATGATCTCACAGTCCATGGGTTCGAGCCCCGCGTCAGGCTCTGTGCTGACTGCTCAGAGCCTGGAGGCTGCTTCAGATTCTATGTCTCCCTTTCTCTCTGACCCTCCCCCACTCACACTCTGTGTCTCTCTCTCTCTCTCTCTCTCTCTCTCTCAAAAGTAAACAATAAAAAAAAAATTTAAAAAGAGAATATGCTCATGGTGACATCATTGTCGTAGAAAAACTAGAGCTAAGTAAAAAAAATTATTATTTTAAGGCAATATGGAAGCTGATGCAGAGGTAAGCTGATTGAGTCAGTACAGTAAATTCAACAAATGCTAATAAAATGAAATAATTTTTGTGTCTAAATGTACAGAATTTTGAGAAAGAAACAATCTGAGATTCACAGAATTGCAATTTAGGAAAGGAGCCATGAGGGGCTGGCAAACTGATCTATGAAGTACTAGATAGCAAATATTTTTGGCTTTGTGGGCCATACATAAAGCCTCTGTCACTGTTACTGTGTTCTCCCATTAAAGCACAAAAGCAGCACTGACTGTAATGAATGATTGTGGCTCTGTTCGAATTAAATTTTACTTATGGACACTGACATTTGCATTTCATATAATTTTAATGTGTCACACAATACTAATTTTCTTTTCATTTTTTTTTTTCCCAAGCATCTACAAATGTAAAAGCCATTCTTAGCTTGTGGGCAGCAGAAAAACAGGCTATAGGCTGGATTTGACTCAAAGGGCATAGTTTGATGATCCTGGGTTTAGAACAATCCAAATTACCTTGTCCAAGTACAAATTTGACATATTTTCTCCAAGGGGCAAGTCACCATCCAAATATTCCTGAACTACTGAATTGCAATGGATGAACGTGAAAGGTGCCTGGTAGATAATCAAGTGCAGATAAACCAGCAAAAAAGTATTTGAATGATTTTGTAGGTGTGATGGGGGAAGCCAATGAGGAATTAGAATAGAAGTCATATGGGGACACTTCATTGTATCTGCCTAAACTCTTTTTCTTTTATTTGAGTTCTGATACTCCCTCTGTTTAGCATAAAATTATTACATTCAGTATGAGTGAAGCTATTAGCCTACCTCCTTTTTCATTCAGATGAGTTTTCACATTTCCCAGACATAGTCAATTAGAATACATCACTCCTTTGACTATAATAATCATGTAATTGCAATGACTAGTATCTCCTATGATATATGCTCTATAACAACTATATATGTTAGATACTATATGCATTGGTTGTATATGCCATATGCTATATAATAATTATCATATTGGGTTTCATGGGTATAACTTTTATTTTTTATTTTTTGAGAATGAGAGGGCACAGGTGAGCAAGGGGCAGAGAGGGGGAGAGAGGGGCAGAGAGAGAGAAGTAGTGTTCACCCAAATTAGGGCTTGAGCTCACCTGAAGCAGGACTAGACCTCACAAACTGTGAGATAATGACCTGAGCTGAAGCCAGATGCTTAGCCTACTGAGCCACTCAGGTGCACTATGGGTATAATTATTTTTGTTTCCTGTTTTGACTTTAGGAAGAATGCTTAGGTTTATGAGGTATGATGTTAGTGTTTGGCCTGATATATATCCCTTGATTTCTAGTTTATGGATTTTCTTTTTTTTTTAAATATTTTATTTTTTGACTAATCCCTCCACCCAACATGGGGTTCAAACTCACAACCCTGAGATCAAGAGTTGCATGCTCTGCCAACTGAGCCAGATAGGTGTGCCCTGTTTTTTATGGCTTCTCAAAACCAAGAAGGTTCTGTATTTTTTTTCACATACTTTTTCAGTATCACTACTACAAAGATTGACATGAATGCAGATCAAACAACCATTCTTGACCAACTTCTCTAACTTTTTAGTAATGTAATTAGTCTGATCTCCAGGCATTGACCTCTTGTGTACATCGATAAAGTACCTGTACCTGTCCTTTTGGCATGGTCAAGGCCAGCTGGCAAACCTACTCTCACTCTCTGCATTTGCCCCACTTGGCTTCTATTGCCCTTGCAAATTCTCTGAGTGTAAGTTATGTCTTCTGTTAGGTCCCTGTTGATGCATATACCCCATATCCTCTGCTAAAGTGTCAGCTTACACTATGCCATGATGATCCCAGGTCAGACTTGCTGGCCATCAGCTCTCAGCTGCCTTCCATGCCCAGCACTGTAAGAATGTGGGAGCTTCTGAAACTCTTTCACGTAACAGAAGTGCAGAGACATTTGCAGGTAGGTTTTGCTCTTTCTGTGGGTCTTTATTCCTTATGAAGTCTCCTGTGACACATAAAAACCTATGCTAAATGCATTTGTGTGCTTTTCTCCTCTTAATCTGTCTTAAGTTGGTTATGTTCTCAGGCCTGGTCAATATACCCTAAGAGGGTATGCATAATGAGAGGGGAAGAGAGATTGATTGATTTTTAGGAATTGGCTCATATGATTGTGGCAACTCAAATCTGTAGGGTAGGCCAGCAGGCTTGGACACCCTGGGAAGAGCTGATGTTGCATTGGTGAGTCTGAAGGCAGACAAGCTAGGTATCCTTCCTCTGAGAAGACCTCAGCTTTTTCTGCACCAGGCATGCCTGCTATTAGTAACTGTTAATCCCTCTTCTCTACATAGTCATCACCTTACCATCTGGTGTCTCCAGACTTCATTTGCTACGTCCCTCAGGGGTCCATGGTTTTCTGATGTTTTCTGTTCTGGGCAGCCGAGTGGAGATCTGACTCTGTGCCAGTCTAACCTGATCCTCACTTTATTACCCGGGTGCTGAAGCCTCATGACTTCCTCACCTTTTCTTGTGCTTTTCTTAGAATCTTTATAAAAATGGGGACCCTGGATGGCTCAGTCAGTTAAGTGACCACCTCTTGATTTTGGCTCAGGTCATGATCTCATGGATCATGAGTGTGGAGCCTGCTTAAGATTCTCTCTCTCTTTCTTCCTCTGCCCCTCCCCTGCTTGCGTGCACATGCTCTCTCTTTCAAAAAGAAAAAAGAAAAAAGAATCTTCATAAAAAGGATACTTATTTCTGCTGCCTTCCTCCCCCACCTCACATTCCATCCTGGGATCTGATCTTGGGAGTTAGTCACTCGGCTGGGAACCTTGCTACCCCGCCAAGGTACTTCTCATCCAGTGTGACAGCTGTGTGCCGGGACACCATTCTCTTCTCTCAGAACTTTCAACCCTTCCTTGACTTCCAAAAAACAGTGCTTTCTCCTCAAGGCTTATATTTGATTTCCAAAAACAGTGCTTTCTCCTCAAGGCTTATATTTCACTTGTAATACATGTATATGTCACTCCCACTTAAAAAGCTGAAGCACAAAGGAAAGTTGAGCAATCTGCCATAGGTCAGTCACACTGATAGTTAAGGAGTCAGGGTTCCAAGCTAGGTCTCTGCTTCCAGAGACCAGTGGTCTTCCAGCCGCACCTCATTGGCTGCCAAAGATGCAAAAATGAAAAGATATAGCATCCTCCCTCAAGCAATTTGCAACCTGGAAGCGTAGTCTACAATCCATAAACTTGATCACATGTACACTTTGACAATGGACAATTGACTCAGGAGATTAACTGTGGGGCAGACTTCAGAGGTTCTGGCCCCGGGGAGGCCTTTTTGCACTGGGAGGGTGCCGGGAGCTGCACCGGCCTCTCTGGATGGCAGTCACAGCAAGGAAATGGCAGTGTTTGCACAGCTCCTGCCATGAGAAATGAAACCTGGTATCTCTTTCTGCTACTACTGGCTCATGTTGGAAATGAGCCTGCTGGTATTGACCAGGCCTCACAATATTGCATATCAGACCCATATTCTGAACACAGATACCTCATAAAGAAAAGCATATTCCTGCCTTTAGATGAAAGCACTGTGGATGATTGTCTAAAGACTCTTCCTATGGGCCTTGCAGATCCAAGACTTAGATAATAGAGGGGGTTAAGAACACAGGAGTTACAATTGAGCTTGGCCCCTAGACAAAGAGCCTATTTTGGGGTTAAGGGCAGAACATGGTTACTATATATATCTTTGCTAATTGGTGAAGCATAGCAGTCCCTTCCTCAAGGCCTACAGTCCACAAACACCCTCCCTTACACTGGCAGCTGGGATGAGGCTAGATAAGAGTAGCTAAAACATAAACCCAGGTGCAAAGATTGACACATTTAGGGCCCCCATGATAGTTTCCACAAACAAGCCAATTCAGAAACATTCATTCTCTTGAGAGCCAAACAGAATGACTCCTAGCTTATCTATATACGATTTAACCTATATGTTATTCTGTTTTTCACTAAGAGCATCCTGTTAATTCCTTGGTTGTAAATTCACTATGACTGGGATAATTCTGCAGAATATCAAAAACTTGTTAT